CGTTTAAAGTGCGTATATCAACCTCAGGGAAATAACCCACTGAGATAGATTAGACGATTTTAAGAACATTTTCAATATATTTGATAAGTCGAAAATTTGATCTTCATGTACTTTTCGGGCCTCAAAGTTGGCTTTTTCGTGTTTGACCGTGAGGTGCTGTTAGTGGGAACTAGTTGCCATTGGAGAACACGCTAATTTTGTAAACAAGAAACACGCTTTAATGCAGCAATAAACTACGAAATCTTGTAGTATATAAACTTTTTGGTTCGTTTTTCGCTAAAACGACGTGTTTCTTGTTTACAAAATTAGCGTGTTCTTCAATGTACGTCACTTCCGGTGAAAAAGGGCAACTAGTTCCCACTCACAGCACCTCACGGTCAAACACGAAAAAAGCCAACTTTGAGGCCCGAAAAGTACATGAAGATCAAATCTTCGACTTATCAAATATATTGCAAATGTTCTTAAAATCGTCTAATCTATCTAAGTAGGTTATTTCCCTGAGGTTGATATAGGCACTTTAAACGCCTTGTTTGTGTGTAAATCTCTCCTTGCCTCAAGAGTCTCTAGTGTATCTCTAGGGAGACCAACGATATCCATGGCCCGATTTTGAATGTGTTGTAAATCCTTAGCCAAGTAGTTAGGGATCCCACCCCAAATTGGTGAAGCGTACTCAAGAAGAGGGCGTATTTTAGTTATATATGTGGTCACACCAATTTCAGAAGGAAGATTTGCTTTACGGCATACACGTAGAAAGCACAGTCGTTTGCTCTCTCGATCATCTACATATGCATTCCATTTTAAATCGTTTTGAACATGAACGCAGAGTAACTTGAAGGTCTCAACCCTGTCAAAGCCAAAGGCTGTTCTCTTCAGTTCAAGCGAGAGAGGCGAACAGGGCTTGCACGGGAATCGAACGCGTGACCTCTCGCACCCTAAGCGAGAATCATACCACTAGGCCAGCAAGCCAAGTGCAGAACACGGGAAGTTTTCTTTTTCGCATATTTCATCGCTCACAATAAAGGCGATGTATAGCATGCATGCATGGAAAATATAAAAATCTTTTCAGGTCATATTTATTACAAGCCAAGTTACTCTAAGTGAAAAAAGACTTGTAGGAATCTTAAATCACTGTTAGTACCGAGACCAGACAAACGCAATGGTAGAAAAAAGACGATAATTGTAAACACGATAACAAACTAGGTTTAACCCTAGAGTCTAGAACTACGGAATTGGTTTCATTCAGTTCTAAACATTTTTACCGCGGAGCTGAACTATGAGGCTACACAAGAAGTTTCATTATTTACCATGCGCAAGTTTAAGGGTTAGGTATACGTTACCTATATGAACAAGCTTTGCTCTTGGTTGATGATAACAATAGAACACAATAAAACCCAATCAATTATTATAGATATTGATTTATAAAGAACAAGTCATGAAACTTTGTTCAGTATCGTTATATACAAGAAGCCGGTCAAAACACTCGTTCATGTTCGTAGATACTTATTAAGTTTAAGTTGAAAATGAGGAAAGCCTCCTCAGAGATTCGAACTCTGGACCCCTGGTTTACTAGACCAGTGCTCTAACCACTGAGCTAAGAAGGCACCCGGAAAAAAAGCTTGCGCGAATAGAAATGTAAACAAATGTTTCAAAAAACGAATTTTGCAGGTAAATTTTTTCACGGCGATTATTAAATGCGTAATGATCACAAATATTTAAGTCTTTTACTCACCCTTACCATACACAGTTAAAAAAAATCAAGCCTTATCAGAGAGTTGAACTCCGGACCCCTGGTTTACGAGACCAGTGCTCTAACCACTGAGCTAATAAGGCAAACCCGTAATACTTTTGAAAAAGGTAAAATGAATCATCGGCGAAAAATAGTTATTCATGCCAAGCTAAAACTAAAAGGAAAAATGTTAGTGTTAAAGTTTGGTCGATCAATTCAGTTGCTTTCACAAACACCGTTAATGAGATTATCTTGTAGACGATGGCAATGGTAATCATACGGTCATATGATAGTTGAAAATGTTACAGTGTTATTTTTGAATTACAAATTATTCTTGGGTTATGAAAAATGTGCCACGCACTATAAAAAGTCGCACAAATTCATTTTCCTGATGTTCAGTACTTGTATATGATGATTGACAAGGTCTTCATTGTTGACATGCCTACAACGTCTACATTTATGCATACTAGATCTCCTCCTTGTATGTATATTGATAGGATTGATGCTGCATGGGAAAAGTTTTAACGGGAGATTGCAATTTGAGCTCAACACTACTTTCTTTCTTAAAAGCTAAGAAAGAAACTCAATCGCGCAAAAATTTCAAGTTATGAGGGCGATCAGGGCTTGCACGGGAATCGAACCCGTGACCTCTCGCACCCAAAGCGAGAATCATACCACTAGACCAGCAAGCCACACCTGTGGAAATAGTTCATTATCTTTCGGTGTAATTTTAAAAAAATCCGGTATATTACATGAAAAACTAAGGTTCAAGAGACTTCCGTTAATTCGTGCGGAAAACACCCCATTTTGCTGTTGAAAACAAGCCTATAAAAGAGCAAAAATTTCTGAGTAGAGGTCCCTTTGACAAGAGGTAATTACGTTTTAGTCCAATCACCATGTTTATTTACATTATTTTTTTGTAACCGAATGGGGATGCATAAGTTTGCGTTAATAGGGTATAATATTAACTATTTCTCATCAAGTATTAGAAATTTTAACTGCTCTGACTGGTATTTTTTAAAAAAATGAAAAAAAATATTATGTCGTATGTTTTGAAACGAAATTCCACCTGGCGGCAAACAATTTCTCCGTGTTACATGAACATCTTTCGGACTATCAAGAGTCGTAGTCGGCAGGATTTGAACTTGCGCGGGAATATCCCAACAGATTTCAAGTCTGTCGCCTTAACCACTCGGCCACGACTACATAATTGCTTAGGCGTCGCTTATTTTGCTTTAGCACGGATAGCTTGAAACTTACCTGTTTATTTTACCACAGATTTCACGTCGTGGGCACGTTAATAGGTTCTCTGGAATTGGTATGCCTTCCAAACTGCTTTTCAATTGCCAGCAGAATTTTGGAATTATAATAAGACTGAAAAAAAAGCAAAGGGTCTCGGGGAACTCGCTGTGACGGTTGGCGGAAGCTTTTATCATAGGAATTAATTATTGATAGAAATCAGGCAGTTCACAGGGCGTGTAAATAGATCATGCATCAGTGATTGTGCATCACAGCATTCAGCAGCATATCCGAGACAGCAATTCAACTGCAATCAATGGCTGCTAATTCTGATTTCGAGCCTTAGCAGTTTTGGTCATGGGGTTAAGTTTTTATTTCTATTAGTTGTTCTCTACAGTATAAGATATTACACGCTTTTTTATTTCAAATTAGAACTTATTGTTCGCTAAGGAACTTTACTGTTTTCCCTACTAGTGTTTACAAAACCTTAAAGCATAGCGTTCCCGCCTATCTCATACTCACACACACTAAAACATATTTTGATCAAAAGGTTATATACAGCCATTAAAAAATTTGCATATTATCATTAGTCACGCTTGAATCTACCATTAATTTTCACGTCTCTAACATAGCCACCCCCGTGAAATACCATCGTTTTTCACTTAATTTGGGCCTCTTCTAAGAGGCAGAGCTTAGAGACGGGTCTTCTATGGATTCCAGTTTTCGTTTTGACTTCTACCGATCTGATTTGTTCATCAGGTCCTTTGAAGACTTTGATAATCTTGCCCAGCGGCCAATATCCGCGCGATTTGTTTTCGTCCACTACCAGTACCAAGTCGTTTTCCTTTAACGGTTGAACTTCAGTGTTCCATTTCACTCTGGATGTGAGTCGAGGGAGATATTCTTGAACAAAGCGTTGCCAGAAATGATTGGTCATAATCTGTGCATGTCTCCACCTTTTCCTACTACATAAGTCTGAGACGGTGAAGACCCCGGGTGGATAATTGAAGTTAGCTCGACCAAGTAGGAAATGATTCGGTGTGATAGGTTCCAGGTCATTAGGATCGTCGCTTACAGAAGTGAGAGGTCGACTGTTCAAGATTGATTCGATTTCAATAATTAGAGTGTTTAGAGTGTCCAGATGCACACTCTGATTTCCCAGGATCGCACGAAGAATTTTCTTGACAGAGCGCACCATTCTTTCCCAAACTCCTCCAAAATGTGGGGCCATTGGAGGGTTAAACTTCCAATCAATTCCTCGTTGTAGCAGATGGTCCTGGATTTGTTCCTGATTCCAAGATTTCAGGCATTCTTTAAGTTCACTTGCTGCACCAACGAAGTTTGTTCCATTATCCGACACAATACACTTTGGCTGTCCGCGACGAGCTATGAATCTCCGAAGAGCGAGTATGAAAGCATCAGTGTTGAGGGAACCAGCCAATTCTAGATGTATGGCTCTTGACGTCAGACATGTAAATAAACAACCCCATTGTTTCTCTACAGTTCTTCCTCTTTTCACCAACATTGGACCAAAATAATCGACACCAGTGTTGGTAAAAACTGGACGTCCAACTGCGAGACGGAGTGATGGTAAGGCCGACATCAATGGAACGTTTGGTTTAACTGACTTCTTCTTGCAGGCGAAACACTTGTGAAGAATCTGACGAACAAAGGATTTCCCTCTGGGGATCCAAAATCTCTCCCTCAACAACGCCAAAACATGTTCTGTGCCAATATGCCCTTTACGAACATGTATATCTTCCACGATGAGTGTAGTGATATGGTGTTTCCGAGGTAGAATTATTTGGTGACGAGATTCATACGAAATTGGGGCTCGAACCAATCTTCCGCCCACGCGAAGTAAATCATTCACCAGAAAAGGTTGTAAAGGCAGTAGCTGGGTAGATGTGGGTAAAGGTTTTCCTTTCATGAAACACGACAGTTCAGTGGAGAAATGTTCCTGCTGTGCTTGACCAATCCAATACATTAGTGAGGCGTCGATCTCTTCAACGGTAAGGTAAGAAGGAAATTTACGTCATTGAAGCTTAGCTAGGAACCGTTTGACCCAAGATGTGACCCTTAGCAAGCGGAAAAGCTTTGAAAACTCTGTAGGATCGATTATAGGAGAGGTCGCTTTAATAACAGCAATAATGGGGCACTCGTTCTCCATTCCGCAATTGGTTTGGGTACTTTGTTTAAAATCAGGTTGGATTGGCCAATGCTCTTCAGACTGCCAGAGGAAATCAGGTCCCGACAACCAACGGTGTTGTTTCGAAAGTTGTACAGGCGATAATCCTCGGGATCCATCATCAGCTGGATTAAGAGCACCGGAAACATGATGCCATTCTTGGAGTTTCGAATTTTCTCTAATTTCTGAGACTCGGTTTGCGATGAATGTAGGAAATCGTCGATTTTCGCTCATGATGTATTGTAAGACAACGAGTGAATCAATCCAATAGAAATTTTCGTGTACAGATACATTCAGTTCTTTCTGTATGGATGTGCTCAGACGGGTAGCGAGAACGGCGGCTTGCAACTCCAATCGAGGAACTGTCAGCGGTTTGAGAGGAGGGACTCTTGACTTGCCGACAAGGAATGCACACGAGATTTTTGACGACACATAAATATATCGAAGGTAGATCACTGCAGCGAATCCTAGCTCAGATGCATCCGCAAACACGTGCATTTGACAAACACTAACTTGCTCGTCGGGGTACAGCTTCAAACATCGTGGGTAGAAGAACTTCTTTAATTCTTCCAACTCCGTCTTCCAGGTTGTCCAAGCCTGCAATACGTCACCAGTTATTTCTTCGTCCCAGTCCAGCTTTAGACGCCACAATTCTTGTAAAAGACACTTGGCTTTGAAGATGAAAGGGGCCAGCAACCCCAGAGGATCGAAAATAGAACTTGTAACTTTTAGTATGTGTCGTTTCGTAGCACCATCAACGGACGAAACATTGAATTTGAATTGATCACCTTCTATGTCCCAAGCGACACCGAGAGTTCTTCCCATTGGCAGTTCTTCAGAGGCAAGATCGACAACTGAAGTAGCAAGCTCTGTTTTTGGTAGAGCTTGTATCACTTCTCGACAGTTGCTGAGCCATTTAGTAAGGCGAAAACCACCCCTTCGAAGGAGATCCATCAACTGGTACGCCAATCTAATTGCTTCATCGATAGTTGGAACAGACTTTAACAAGTCATCCATGTAGAAATTGCGTAACACCGTCTGAATAACAACGTTATCGAAACTTGACGCATTATCAGTTGCCGTTCGTCGCAGAGCATAACTTGCACAGCATGGAGATGATTTTGCCCCAAAAATATGCACTTGCATTTGATAGGATTCGATAGGTTGACCAGGGGTGGAGACGTTTCGCCACAGAAATCTCAGCGATGTTTGATCATCTTCCTTTACTTTTACCTGGTGAAACATGGCTTCTATGTCAGCTAACATGGCAACCTTTTCGGATCGAAATCGAGTTAGTATTCCTACCAAATTGTTAAGTAAATCTGGACCGGTAACTAACTGATCGTTCAGACTGGTTCCACGAAATTTTGCCGCTGCATTGAACACAACTCGGAGTTTCTTATGCTTAGCTTGCACTGAATGGTGTGGAAGGTACCAAACTTTCTCCGGTTTTGATTTGGTTTCGTCTGAACTGAGCTTTCTGGCATATCCTTTTTCTAAGTAACCATGAATGATATTCGTATAGGCTGTTGCAAGTTCAGGGTCTTTCTGAAATTTCTTTTCTAAGTTTCGAAAACTCGTTTCAGCTAAAACACGATTGTAAGGTAGCACTGGATTTTCACATCGCCAGAGCATACCGACCTCATATCGTTCGCCAGTGTATTTCGTGGTCGCTTCTAGTGTTCGAATTGCATTTTGATCCTCCATAGACTGGGGAATTTTTCCTTCAAAGGAGCAGCCGAATGACTCGGTTCTCCAAAACTCCTCGACTCTACGATGAAGATTCTCGTCGGAAATGGAAACGAAGTTAACATTCGCGGCTGTGAAATGCTCATTCCGTTCTTTAAATTCAGCTTTTGATCCCAAAAGTGTCCATCCAAGTGCTGTACGAATAGCCAATGGCTGGTTTTCGGGACCCCGTCGTACTTCGAGGGCAATCAACGCTTCAGGAATATTGGCCCCAATCAATAAAGCAATGTCACAAGAGCTAACGTTTGGAAAGTCCAATCCGTCCAAGTACGAGAAAGCTGCTCCGTTTGGCGAAACGCGTTGGTGACGAGAAGGAACGTTCAAATGTGGAACTGTCCATGCTTGATCAACCCTAATTTCTGTAAATGGAATTGCACTTGCTGCTGGACTGATTGTGAAATCGACAAGTCTAGAAGAACAGCATTCTCCATTGGATACGACTGTTCCAATTGATAAGCTTTTCATCGGTCCTTCAAGTCCTAGTTTGTTGGCAAGGTCTTCTCGAATCAATGTTGCTTCTGAACAAGGGTCCAATAGCGCAAACGTGTTGACCTCTTCACCTTGGGCATTTTGTACTTTGACAGGTACCATCTGCACAAATACTTTGGTGTTTTTAAGGATTTGTTCTCCTTCATCTGTCTTCAGATGCGTTGAAGCAACAACAGGCTTTTCTTTGTTATCGTCTTCTGTATTGACTCCCACGGATTTAGTTTTAGTACCACGGACTTGCATCATTTGAGGCGAGTCATGTAGACTTGAGTGGTGTTTCTTGTTGCAATTGAGAACACGACATACGAACTTTGATGAACACTTATTAGCATGATGTCCAGGTCGTAGACAATTGTAGCAAAGTCCTTTTGTTCTCACGAAAACATGTTTCTCGGACGCTGACTTGTTTTGGTATTTCCAACAACGACCAAGATAATGCTTGAGTGGACAAAGAAGACATGGTGTTTCCACCCTTGTTGGTGACGTGCAATCATGATCTTCGTCTGGGAATGAAGTCGCAAATGTTCGTATGCGAGTGGAAGGTATTTCTGGAGCTTTCGTGTCTGTTCTTCTTGTAGATTTATCATCTACTGGCAGATCTGGGTCGTAAGCCGTCTCCACTTCTTGATTCATCCAGATCTCGAAATGAATGAGATTCGGCATTTCTTGAATTCGAATTGTTCGTGATGTTTTAGCCCAGGAACGACGTAAACCAGGTGGGAGACGCGCAATTGCCATTCTTAAGTTGTTACTTGAGAAAAGATCTGAGAAGAAGTTCATTCTTTCCAAGGTGAATATGCAGTTTCGTAATTCGTTATGAAATTGACTCAAAGCGTATCTGTTTCCAGGGGGAATCCTGTCAATCACTGCCTTTTCAATCACTGCTCGAGCCACTATCACTGGATGACCAAAACGCTTCTTCAACCACTTTAAGGCTACGGCATACGCTTTTCCATCGCAACCAAGACCTTGGACTAACAACTTGGCTTGTCCATCTAAATGCATTTGAAGTTGGGTCATTCTGCGAGTATCCGTGGAGTATGGTTTGTTGTGAACGTGTTCGTAAAATCGCTCGACAAATCTTGGCCACTGAATTGGCTCACCATTGAACCGAAGAAGCTCAATCTTTGGGACATCTCTATTATACTCCAGACGTAACAGGGATTCTTCTAATGTCATACCATGTCGACGCTCGTATGGAATAACCGTTTCCTGGTATGGGATTAGTTTATCGATCCAGCTATCCAGACTTTCATGCTGTTCAGTCACGCTATCAACTTTGGTTGATGAAGAAGCTATTGGAAAATTCGTTTGAACTGGAGGATGAAGGCTCGGAAAACTAGGTGTTGGAGTTGGGATAGGGAGACGCAAACGTGGTAATGGTTGGAAGGATTCAGACGAAACTGTGGAGATTGGGGACATTGGTTCAGCATGATGGATTGTTGCTCTTTGACGTGTATCCGGTAATGTGGGTAACTGCTGATCTGATCTGAATGTTGTACTAATGGGGCGCGTTGGTGCCATTGGCATTTTGAAATTTCTTGATATCAAATCCCACTGGGAACTGAGGTGACCCTTGAACTGGCACTTCAGGTTTTGTTGATTGTGAACGATGTGGTTTGTTCTGTGTAACTTTCACAGAATGAATTTCATTGGAGGCGTCTTCAGGAGGTTGTGGCCTTTCAACTTTTGAAGGACTTGATTTGGACGATTCAGAATCACGTTGGAAAAAAGGCACTTCTGAATCTACTTCGTCGAACTCTTTTAGCCTTTCTTCAAGGTGCGCGTCACGCATGCTTTCAAGATCACGTTGAAATAATTGCGATTCCAGTAGACTCAATTCAGCTTGGTTAGCCGCAGCGATTACTTGTTCTTTGGTCCGTGAAGCCTTTATCTCCGCTTCAAACTGCAATTGTCGCATCTTATTGTTCAGAATTTCTTTCTCCAAGCTTAGCTCTCGTTTTGCGGTTTCTTGGGCTTGAGCTGCTTTCATCGCATCAATGCGTGCTTTACGCTCAAATTGTTTAGCAAGGTCTGATAATGCTAATGATTTGCTTGTTGATGATCTCTTTGAGCTTGGTTTAATGGGTTTATTTGTCATAGGTAATGAACACGGCGGTAATGAAGCATGTTCCGTTTCATCGCGCGAAGTATCGATTTTTGACTGACTCATGTTAACGTTTGATGGCGAGATTATTTCAGATTCCTGTTTTGTTAGATAGCTCTCGATTTCCTCTAGACATAATTTTTTAGCTTCGCATGCGTTTGCGAACCATTCTTCTGCTTCTCGTTTGTCGGTTTCCAGTACTAATAGGTTTGTCAACGCTTCGTTAATTGTTCTAATATTCGGAAATAAACGCTCGGTTATTGCATTTCGTATTATATTTACTTCGATTTGGTTGCTCTTTTCTTTCATGAGCTCTTTCACTTCGTTTATCTTTCTGGTTAGGGCAGAAAGTTTCCCTGCGCGGGACGCCTTTGTGGATTGGATTTTCTGCTCGATGATTTCTTCGGCATCTCTTTCTGGTGGAACCACCGTTCGCTTTTTACTTTCGTCGCCCTCGACCAGTCTTTCCGTTGTAGACATTTGATTATTTGAGTTTCAGTACTGCTATCCGGTTCGAAGGACCATTATGTTCGCTAAGGAACTTTACTGTTTTCCCTACTAGTGTTTACAAAACCTTAAAGCATAGCGTTCCCGCCTATCTCATACTCACACACACTAAAACATATTTTGATCAAAAGGTTATATACAGCCATTATAAATTTGCATATTATCATTAGTCACGCTTGAATCTATGTTGTTCGCTAAGGAACTTTACTGTTCGCTGAACATTATGTTCGCTAAGGAACTTTACTGTTTTCCCTACTAGTGTTTACAAAACCTTAAAGCATAGCGTTCCCGCCTATCTCATACTCACACACACTAAAACATATTTTGATCAAAAGGTTATATACAGCCATTAAAAAATTTGCATATTATCATTAGTCACGCTTGAATCTACCATTAATTTTCACGTCTCTAACACTTATATACGATGAGCCTACATAAGAAGTTTCATTATTTACCATGCCCAAGTTTAAGGGTTAGGTATACGTTACCTATATGAACAAGCTTTGCTCTTGGTTGATGATAACAATGGAACACATGTCAATAAAACCCAATGAATTATTATAGATATTGATTTATAAAGAACAAGTCATGAAACTTTGTTCAGTATCGTTATATACAAGAAGCCGGTCAAAACACTCGTTCATGTTCGTAGATACTTATTAAGTTTAAGTTGAAAATGTGGAAAGCCTCGTCAGGGATTCGAACTCTGGACCCCTGGTTTACTAGACCAGTGCTCTAGCCACTGAGCTAAGCAGGCATCCGGAAAATAAGCTTGCGCGAATAAAAATGTGAACAAATGTTTCAAAAAACGTATTTTGCAGGTTAATTTTTTCACGGCGATTATTAAATGCGTAATGATCACAAATATTTAAGTCTTTTACTCACCCTTACCATACACAGTTAAAAAAAATCAAGCCTTATCAGAGAGTTGAACTCCGCACCCCTGGTTTACGAGACCAGTGCTCTAACCACTGAGCTAATAAGGCAAACCCGTAATACTTTTGAAAAAGGTAAAATGAATCATCGGCGAAAAATAGTTATTCATGCCAAGCTAAAACTAAAAGGAAAAATGTTAGTGTTAAAGTTTGGTCGATCAATTCAGTTGCTTTCACAAACACCGTTAATGAGATTATCTTGTAGACGATGGCAATGGTAATCATACGGTGATATGATAGTTGAAAATGTTACAGTATTATTTTTGAGTTACAAATTATTCTTGGGTTATGAAAAATGTGCCACGCACTATAAAAAAGTCGCACAAATTCATTTTCCTGATGTTCAGTACTTGTATATGATGATTGACAAGGTCTTCATTGTTGACATGCCTACAACGTCTACATTTATGCATACTAGATCTCCTCCTTGCATGTATATTGATAGGATTGATGCTGCATGGGAAAAGTTTTAACGGGAGATTGCAACTTGAGTTCAACACTGCTTTCTTTCTTAAAAGCTAAGAAAGAAAGTCAATCGCGCAAAAATTTCAAGTTATGAGGGCGATCAGGGCTTGCACGGGAATCGAACCCGTGACCTCTCGCACCCAAAGCGAGAATCATACCACTAGACCAGCAAGCCACACCTGGGGAAATAGTTCATTATCTTTCGGTGTAATTTTAAAAAAATCCGGTATATTACATGAAAAACTAAGGTTCAAGAGACTTCCGTTAATTCGTGCGGAAAATATCCGATTTTGCTGTTGAAAACAAGCCTATAAAAGAGCAATAATTTCTGAATAGAGGTCCCTTTGACAAGAGGTAATTACGTTTTAGTCCAATCACCATATTTATTTACATTATTTTTTTTGTAACCGAATGGGAATGCATAAATTTGCGTTAAAAGGGTATAATATTAACCATTTCACATCAAGTATTAGAAGCTCTGACTGGTATTTTTTAAAAAATGAAAAAAAATATCATGTCGTATATTTTGAAACGAAATTCCACCTGGTGGCAAACAATTTCTCTGTGTTATATGAACATCTTTCGGACTATCAAGAGTCGTAATCGGCAGGATTTGAACCTGCGCGGGAATATCCCAACAGATTTCAAGTCTGTCGCCTTAACCACTCGGCCACGACTACATAATTGCTTAGGAGTCGCTTATTTTGCTTTAACACGGATAGCTTGGAACTTACCTGTTTACTTTACCACAGATTTTACGTCGTGGGCACGTTAATAGGTTCTCTGGAATTGGATCTGGAATATTCCTGCCAAGCTAAAACTAAAAGGGAAAATATTAGTGTTAAAGTTTGGTCGATCAATTCAGTTGCTTTCACAAACACCGTTAATAAGATTATCTTGTAGACGATATCAATGGTAATCATACGGTGATATGATAGTTGAAAATGTTACAGGGTTATTTTTGAATTACAAATTATTCTTGAGTTATAAAAAATGTGCCACGCACTATAAAAAAGTCGCACGAATTCATTTTCCTGATGTTCAGTACTTGTATAATTTTTATGATGATTGATAGGGTCTACAACGTCTACATTTATGCATACTAGATCTCCTCCTTGCATGTATATTGATAGGATTGATACTGCATGGAAAAAGTTTATCTGGAGATTGCAACTTGAGTTTAGCACTGCTTTTTTTGCACCGCATTATTAAGATGAAGTATTTTTACATATATTCCCCCTATTCCAGGTATGGAGCCCTGGTTAACAAATATAATATAGAACATGCATGTGACCCAGAGAGTCATTCAAAAAACCTAAACTGCATGGATTGTTTATCAAACGTACGGCTTTTTCCCACGAAAATAAATTGGGATTTTTCAAGCACTAATGGGTACCATAAAAATATTTAATTTTTCTTTAATTTATAGAACAGGAAAGAGCGAGCGGAGTTGAACTACTGACCCAAGTGACCTGTCAACCTGCAGTCGGATGCTCTACCGCTATATGCTACTCTCTCTGAGCGTTCCATGCAGCATACCCGTCATATGCTATATTCTTAGATACCTGTAAGAGAAAGCCTGAAATAAAAAAATACATAAAGACGGAGAATGAATGTTTTCAAAGAGTTTCTACCAAAAATTGAACTCCGATTCTTGAAATCAGAGTCCGAAGTGATAACCATTACACCACAGACCCTAAAAATCTATCAAACTTACTGACGAATGTTGGCTGCATAGTATATAATTATGTAGTTTGCTACGCGCATGCACATTATTAAGATAAAGTATTCTTATAATTATATTCGTGTTAAGCTTGCACATACGCCTCCTTAGCTCAGTGGATAGAGCACTGGTCTTGTAAACCAGGGGTCCAGAGTTCAACTCTCTGATGAGGCTTTTGCATACTTTTGTATTCACAAAAGTATATAGGCAACTATAGCAACTATATAATTTATCCTACACAGAGCCCGCAGTGCTAACCATTACACCACAGGACATAAACACC